GGGAGCGCAGGGCTTGGGGCAGGCCTGGGCATGCGGTTATGCCATCTACTGCACCGCCTGGCAAGTCCAACGAACAAGTTGAATGTGACCTTCTGTTCTACAAACAAGAACGTAAGATAGTTCATATAATCGATCGTTGCATTCGCTATGCTACTGGACTGGAGATACCAGACAAGACGATGACCAGCATCCTGGATGCGTACCATCAGTGCTGGATGCTGTTTGGACACGCAAAGTTGTTCAACTCCGATGGGGAGGGTGCCCTCAACAACGACGCTGCGAAAGCAGTCCTTAAGGCAAAGGGCACTGAACTAAGACACCTGCGCGTGCACGACGCGCTACGACGATCAAAGCCAGAAGCGGCGTACTGCGCCATCTACTTCTTGTCATGGAAGCTGAACTCAACAGGTTCGACATACCTCTGGTGTTCACACGACTACTGCATGAAGCTTTGTTTGCCGCCGACGCGTTCACCTACTATAAAGAGGTGTCTCCATGCAGCTCCCTGTTTGGACGGCAACCGGCAATGCTTCCTGACTTGCCTATCCTGGAGCACGTACTGCCGATGGAAATGTCGGATCATTCTCGTGAACAGATGATGCGCAAGGCATGCATTGAAGCTACCACGCAGGCCAATGCAGCAGCCAAGACTAACCGTGCATTACGCACTAAGACAACTATCACCGGTCAACATTACTACGATGCAGGAGACTTATTTGATTACCTTCGCCCCACAACCACCATGGACGACTGGGGAGGCTGGAATGGTCCATTCCCGGTTGTAAGAAACGACCCCGAGAGGGGTAAAGTCATCATTCGAGTGGGAAACCGCGACGTTCATGCACAACGCGGCGATGCACGACATTCACTCTATATTGAATCTTTGATCGCCAGAGAGATCGGCTCCGACAACGCTGCACTATGGACAGTGTTGACGTTCGTGGCCAGTTTACTTGCGGAGGGACCTGCTATGACATTTGGCTATGTCCCGACCAAGAAGGAGATGCTTCAGATGCCAAGTGCAAGCCGACTATCTCCTACGGTACATCTGGCTCTACAATACCTTATCAGGAATTTCTTCCGCATTGAAAGCGTAGTTTCGGTTAGGTTGCCGAGAGTATCCACAATCCACCTTCGGTGGTTACGCTGACAGTTGCACATAAGTCTACGATGACACCGATGTGAATCTTCATTATTATGAAGCAGAAGGCACCGCTCCTAACATTCACGATATAGCTGGACCAGCCAATTCAAGCATCATCCAGTGCCTGAAGTCCACCAAACCTCAATCGGGCTTTGACCAGGATGTGACAAAGTTGGAGGAATTGGCGGATGCACCGACACCGGACAGAACCGCAAGAGAAGCCCCAGAGACCGAACCACCACTGGAGGATGGACGGCCTCCCACGATATGTTAGAAATCGGAGGCTGACCTCCAGGCACATATTATGGAAGTTCAGTATACAGAACTACAGGATGAAAAGGGAACGACTGGAGGCAGCTCCGCTGGAGGATCTTTCCACAGTACCCACTCGTGTTTCCAGACAACAGTGTGCTGATCACTGTAGCTGAAGAGCAGCGGGGGCACCTGCCTAAGTGGGGGCACCCGCACGACTCCGACATCGAAGATACGTGTCATGTCCCTCTGTGCGCCACGGTCGAAGATTGCAGCTACGGACTGGACTTAGACGAAAATGGACAATCTGTAGAACTCTGCTTTGCGGCAGAAGTGTCACAGGCAGTCCAGCCGAACAACAGCGCAGGATTCTTGATGCCCGCCGCGTGGCCACCATGCGAGCATATGTTGTCGCAGCTGCAGAGAGCGAGCTGCGGTCGTCAAGGAAGACGACCTCCTCGCGAAGGCTGACATCCAGGCGAATCCCGCAATCGACAGCCTCATGCACTGAACGCAAGACATGGTTTGACAAAAAGTGCTTCAAACTGCAAGGTATATCTAAAACGTCAAACATCATGACTTCGAGGTCTGTGTACACATTGAAGTTTGTGGAGAACGAGCAGGGCGAAATTGAACGTGCCATCAGATTGCGCTTGGTGCTTCGAGGCTCCATGGGCTTTGAAGCCTTCGCCGCGGGGGCAGCGCGGCGGTCGAGCCAGAGACTATTTGCGAGCGCGGCAGCGTGCAAGAAGCAATGGGTCATAGCTTCCCTCGACATCAACATGGCCTTCCTCGACGGGTTGACCTGCCGGGCACTTGCTGAGGCAACTGGTGAAGAAGGACGTGTGGCGTGCTTTACTCCGCCGCCTGGATCGGCAACGGTGCTTCGAACTCTCCCAGGAGTCGAACGCTACGACGAGTCGAAGCACTGCTTGCAGCGCCTTAAGCCAGGCACTTGCACCAGGGACGCACCTCGAGCCTTCTCACTTCAGCTCAGAGTGACCACGAGAGGCTTCGGTCTCAGACCCGCGTCCGACGACGAGGAGTTCGAGACGAGCAGCGACCTACTCACGGCCAAGCGTGCTGATGACATCACTGTGGCCTGCACAGAGGACACCATGGACGAGCGCGTCAAGTGCGTAGAATACACATTTGGTAAGTGTAGACTCAACAAGCACACTTGCGCCAATTGTGCTGTGAGGTAGACCAGGGATGAGGACGGCAGTGTCACTTTGGACCAATACGAATACATCAAACAGCTCCGTCCTATACACCACTCTGAACTTACAGGCGCCGACGCTGACGCCCAAGCATCCAAGATGGTTGCAGACATGTTCGACAGCCTTGGAGGCGCATTGGCGTATGCATTAATCACCCAGGTGTGGCTGATGGTGCATGTTGTCTCTCTACAGCATGTCCAAGAAACGACCAACATACAAGTGCGACGACTGAACGCGATTACCAGGAAACTGCAGGCCTGCCCTAAAAAGGTCGTCTACGAGGCGATGGCCCCCACGAGCGAGGTTGACCTGCACAGCGACTCAGGTTATCGATGCTTGAGTGGAGATGCCGATGACGAAGTCGAAGGCTATGGTATTCGCGGGGCAAACCTGCTACTGCGTGGAAGCGCGCCATCCGGTAAGCCCGTCCTTCGCTTGATCGATGCGTACTGCAACTCTCGCCGCTTGCAGGTCCGCTCGAGCTATTCTGCAGAGGCAGTAGCAGCAGCCCACAACTTGGAGGACTGTTATCCCACGATCGTGACTCTGCACGAGCTCCACGCAGGGCCGCTAACTCCCACTCAGTTGAAAGACATACTTGGGCTGGGTGGCCTGAGCATCAAGTTCACTTTGACCATAGATGCTGAGTATGTTTTTAAGTCCTTGTCAAGCAAAGACTTGAAGAAGCCGGCTGGACACACCAGCTGGATACGACAGATGATAGAGCGAGGAATCGTGCACAGTACTCAGTGGTGTGACACCCGCGATATGGCCGCGGACGGTCACACCAACGGGAGCATCGACAGAGAAATGCTCTTACAGGTCATGGAAGGTACACAACCTTTCAAACATGGCTTAAAGCGTCATGATCCCTATCGGGCTGGCCAGACATCTCGTTCTGTAGCCGCCTGAGGAGTACTCGTATGCACAGTATAGTGCAGGCAGGGCAACTTGCGTGCGGGTCCACCTTCCTTGCGGCCCCGCCCTTTTTGCTGCCCTTTTGTAGATAGCAGCTGCTGTACCTGCTGTATAGAGGCGACGGGTTCACGCTTCGTCTCCCTCCCCTACTCTAAAGTGAGCTGGGTGTTGCATGTGAGTGGGAACGAGCGTGCATCCGCGGCTGCTTGGCTCAAAGCGGCCGGCCGCCCAGATCTGTTTACACATCAGCGCGAGGTGTACCATTTGCCATCGTTACCACAGCTGCTTGAGATGGCTCGCCCCCTACTACTGGGACTATCGTTGCTACGGTACAACAGAGCGGGAGATGGGCTTCGCCTAAGGCGAAGCTGCTGGTTGGGCTGCCCAACCCTTTTTCAAACTGCGCCACGGGCTCCGAGCAGCCCACTGGAACCCGCAGAGGCAAGAACATCATAATCAGAAAACAGGTTTCTGGTTAGATCATGTTCGCAACGTCGGAAAACATTGGAATGATTCCTGGGGCCATCAAGGGCCTGCCAGCAGCTTTTCAGGAGCTTCATCTTGGGGTCTGTTCGAGTTTTCTTGTGAGCTGTCTTGGAACAGCTGGAGCTAATTTGGGGTCAACAATGGACCTCTTGGCACCGTGTTGAGGCCATCTCGGGGCCTACTTCCCACTGGCCTCCGCCCTTGGGGCCTCGTCGGGCCTCTTGCAGCAATATTCGGGCCCTCGTGGGAAGTCTTGGGGCCTTCTCCGGACTCTTTCAGGGTTCTCGTGGGGCCGCCCGCACGGTGACCGAGGCACGATTTGAAGCCCTCATGACGCCTCTGTGGTGCTCCCTTGGGGCTGTCTTGTGCAGCCTTGGTGTCATCATGGGACCATCCCGGGGCCAGCCTCCCCCACAAACCCTCGCCGATGGGCCGCGATTGGGCATTCATACGCAAGGTGTTTCCCGTGTCCGCCGCGGTTGCTGCGTTCATGCGCTAACCCTTGCTTGGGGCGGGGCTTTCGCGCCACCAAGAAAGAACAAGACGAGGACAATGTACGAAGCGAAGACGACTTGGAAGGTGGAGACCCTAACAAAAGGAGGAGAGGAGGGAAGCGGACCAGGATTACTATAAAGATCGAAGTGGAGGAGCATGAGGTGATTGATGATGCAGTACGGAATAGTAGAAGAAAAGCATGAGAGAGGAGAGTGCTGATCATTGAGGTAAATGAGGCACGATCCGAATGCTGAGAAGGAAGCGAGGGATGAGCATCACAAGCTTTCTTGGAGGAGGAGGGGGGGATAGATAGTTTCACAGCCCCAGAGGGGGAATCAGCGGCTCAATAGTGGATCGTTGTGCTTGCTCATTGGTGCAGAGGGTAGGTCGACGAGCATGTAATCAGGAGAGAATGCCGCAGGGCGAAGTAACGATCGGGAAGGAAGTAGCTGCACCCTAGCCTCTCGCGTTTGTGCTGCATCGAGGCTCCATGTCGCAGCTGCGGCAGCTGCCACCACGTCCTCAGCATCATCCGCCGCAGTTCAGGTTCTACTGAGGCTTGCCTCGCAACGGTTTCCCGTGCAGCCCATGAGTCGTTTTTCAGTTTCCTCGTCCTTGCCTCGCCTGACCCTTGGCTAAGCTTCGGGGGAGTCGGGTTGAACATCCTGAGGATGAATCGCCTGGACCTGTCCCTGGAGACGTCGCATCCGAATGCTCGCGTAAGGTTAATTGTCCCCTGCAACTCGACAAGAGCTGCAACCAGGAGCTCCACATTTTGAAACTGACTGACATCGAACTTGTGTTTGGGAAGCTCACACTTCAGTCGGGGTGTCAATCCACCTTGAGTCGGCTCTACTGTCTTTGCTCCCATATTTCAGGTCATACGTTCAGTCGGTTTCGCTTCTGCATCATTATTCATGTGGCGTACTCCAATCCGACGACCCCCAGAAGAGAGAGACATGCATGATGGAAGGCTTCGTGAGGGCATCATGGGGCTTTTGTGGGGCTTCTGGGAGGCCTGTCCAAGGTTTCGTAGTGTCTCGTGGGGGGGCCTCGCAGGCCGCTGGGAAGTTCTTGGTGGCATGTTGGGAGAACGGCTACGCATCTGAAGTCGTATTCCTTCTCCCTCTTGGGTCTCCTTTTTGGAGTCCTCGTGGTCCGTTCCGGGGGTTCCTCGTGGGCTGCCTTGGAGCCCTCTTGGGCTGGCGGTCTTGTGGGCCGTCGGGGCCTGCTTTGGGCGATTCTATGGGGCCCTTGGGCCGTTGTGAACACTGGGAAGATGAACGGCCAGAGTTTCCAAAACGTGCATCCTTGCCGAAGGGGATCGGACGGTGTCTGCCTTTCGGGGCCTTCTCGGCAGTCCTCTGGGAGCTCTCGCAAGCTGTCCTTAGTCGCTTCGGGCCCCGTTTTGAAGCTGCATTGGGCCGTCGAGGGGATGCCCTGGGCCGTCGCGGCGCTCTCTTGTGCTGCCTTGCAGGTCTCGTGGGCCCGTCCTGGGGCGTTCTCGCTCCGCAAGGAGCGCGGGGGGGCTCGTCGCGCCACCCTCCCCAGGCCCCCCTATCGCCCCCCCCCCCCCCCGCACCAAAGGATGCGACTTCTTAGCCCCAGGGCAGGAGGGAAGGGGGAGGAGGGCAGCCGATCATCTCTCGCGCGCGTTGTTCCCCCCCCCCCAGCAGGCAGGGGTCGTCGGACGTCGCGCTCCTCGACGTGCTTCCATCTGCTCATCGGGCCTTCCTATCCTCCGTCAACCCGCCCTCGTGTCTTCTGCCCTGCCGCTGCTTCACGCCCCCGGCTTGGCGGCCCTGCCTCTGCCCTGGACCATCGCCGGATCCATCCAGCCTTTGGGCCCTCGCAGTCGGCTTGCCAGGCGGCCAATTTTACGTCCACGCCCATTCAGAGCCCCGAATCATCAGGGGTAACTCGGGTCAGGGCTAACTCGGGTTCGTTTTTCGGGAAGCCGAACCCGACTTACCCCGGACCCGAGTTACCCCGGATAACTCGGGCGTCCAGAGCCCCGAATCATCAGGGGTAACTCGGGTCAGGGGTAACTCGGGTTTCTTTTTCGGAAATCCAAACCCGAGTTACCCCGGACCCGAGTTACCCTGGATAACTCGGGCGCCCAACCCATGGCCCCCTCACACATCCAGCCACGAGGTTCCAAGAGCATCAGCGTCTGCCATCTAGCCTCTGAGCTCGGCTACCAGAAGCAGTCCAGCCGACGGCCTGACGCTCCTGTTGCCAAGCGGAAGGCCGTGACGATCATATGCCCGTGGATGTCTCGCTCGCCCCTCCGTCGGAATTTAACGACAGCGTTCTGGCATGTACCGGCCCAGGATGGGCCGCGGCGCCAGCAAGTAGAATAATGTACTCGCCCAGCTGAATCTCGTACTCGTGTTGCACGCCGTTGCACGGCAGGGCCACGGGCCGATGGCATATCCCCAAAGGGGTGGTACCATTCGGCCCGTGCCCACGGCGCCCCGCTCCCCGGACCTCCGACGGCGCGACTACCCCCGTTGCGTAGGCCCTTGTCCTCCCGTCACAGAGTCAGCGGGTCCTTCAGTCAGCTGGGTAGCCAGTTGGTGACTTTCGGGAGTGATCAGCCTGTCAGCCAGAGGGCTTGGCTATTCTGCCAGGCGCAGGGTCATCCGATCGCTTGTCGGGCTCAGAGCGCGTGGGAGAGACGTCGTCGCCGAGTCCAGGCTAATCCGTCTGAGTGACGCAAGAAGACAGTGCCGTTTGCGCCGACATTGGCGCGTGAGCTGCCCGCGCAAGGTCGCGCGTAAGCGCCCTCGTTTCCAATGCTGCGTGCCGCGTTGGCGGCCTAGCCGCGGCGTAAGTGCGCTATGCCATCCCGTGTAAGACCATTTGTTCTTCGTCGTTTGTCGGGGGGACAGCCTGTTTGCTCCAGGTGTCTTTTTGACAGGAAGCTGATTACACTGCAAGCTGAAAAATCAGTGAAACAGGCTTGCTGGAGGTCTGGGTCACCGTGGGAAGCTGAAGCTTTCCTCCCTCCTGCCCCCCCCCCTTCGAGCTTCAAGCTGTGGGCAGTGTTGGCACGGTTGGCTGAAGCAACGCGTCCCTCCACCGCGGCCGATTGTTTCCCAACCCTCCTTGTGTTGGGTACTCGTTTTGAAAAGAGAACTGTGGTATCCACTTCCCGCCCGCTCCTCCTCCTTCTCTCCTGTGTTCGCGGTGCCCTGCGGGGCTGCGATCTGCGCAACTGTCGCCACTTTCGTGGGCTCCTGGCTGTCCCTTGCGGGGCTGCGATCTGCGCAACTGTCGCCACTTCGTGGGCTCCTGGGAGGCCCAACGGAGTTACGTCATACGCAGATCACTTTGAGGCCTCCCTGTCCCTTGCGGGGCTGCGATCTGCGCAACTGGCGCCACTTTCTCGTGGGCTCCTGGGAGGCCCAGCGGAGGTACGTCATACGCAGATCACTATGAGGCCTCCCTGTCCCCTGCGGGGCTGCGATCTGCGCAAGTGTCGCCACTTTCGTAGGCTCCTGGGAGGCCCAGCGGAGGTACGTCATACGCAGATCACTTTGAGGCCTCCCTGTCCCTTGGGGGGGCTGCGATCTGCGCAACTGTCGCCACTTTTGTGGGTTCCTGGGGGGCCCAGCGGAGGTACGTCATACGCAGATCATTTTGAGGCCTCCTTGTCCCCTGGGGGGCTACGATCTGTGCAGCCGTCGCCAATGTCGTGGGTTCCCGGGAGGCCCAGCGGAGGTACGTCATACGCAGATCACTTTGAGGCCTCCCTGTCCCCTTTGCGCACCTGGCGCGCACCTGGCGCACCTGGCGCACCTGGCGCACCTGTCGCACCTGGCGCACCTGGCGTGCACCTGGCGCGCACCTGGCGCGCACCTGGCGCGCACCTGGCGCGCTGGGCGCACCTGACGCACATGCCGCACCTCTCGCACCTGGCGCACCTGGCGCGCCTGGCGCGCCTGGTGCAACTGGCGCACCTGGCGCACCTGGCGCGCACCTGGCGCACACCTGGCGCACCTGGTGCATCTGGCGCACCTGGCGCACCTGGCGCGCTGGGCGCACCTGGCGCACCTGCCGCACCTGGCGCAGACCTGGCGCACCTGGCGCGCCTGTCGCACCTGGCGCACCTGGCGCACCTGGCGCAGCTGTCGCACCTGGCGCTCATGGCGCACCTGGCTCACTTGGCGCGCCTGGCGCAACTGGCGCACCTGGCACACCTGGCGCACCTGGCGCACCTGGCGCACCTGGCGCGCACCTGGCGCACACCTGGCGCACACCTGGCGCAACTGGCGCACCTGGCGCGCGCCTGGCGCGCACCTGGCGCGAACCTGGCGCGCACCTGACGCGCTGGGCGCACCTGGCGCACCTGGCGCGTTGGGAGCACCTGGCGCGCACCTGGTGCACCTGGCGCGCTGGGCGCACCTGACGCACCTGACACACCTGGCGCGCACCTGGCGCACACCTGGCGCACCTGGCGCACCTTGCGCATCTGGCGCACCTGGCGCACCTGGCACACCTGGCGCGCCTGGCGCACCTGGCGCACCTGGCGCGCCTAGCGCGCCTGGCGCACTTGGCGCACCTGGCGCACCTGGCGCGCCTGGCGCGCCTGGCGCATCTGGTGCACCTGGCGCACCTGGCGCGCTGGGCGCACCTGGCACACCGGGCGCACACCTGGCGCACACCTGGCGCACACTTGGCGCACCCGGCGCGCCTGGCGCATCTGGCGCACCTGGCGCGCCTGGCGCGCCTGGCGCACTTGGCGCGCTAGGCGCACCTGGCGCACCTGGCGCACCTGGCGCAAGTGGCGCACAGACCACTTTGAGGCCTCCCTGCCCCCTTGGCGCACCTGGCGCGCACCTGGCGCGCACCTGGCGCGCTGGGCGCACCTGACGCACCTGACGCGCTGGGCGCACCTGGCGCGCACCTGACGCACACCTGGCGCACCTCGCGCACCTGGCGCACCTGGCGCACCTGGCGCACCTGCCGCACCTGGCGTGCACCTGGCGTGCACCTGGCGCGCACCTGGCGCGCACTTGGCGCACCTGGCGCGCTGGGCGGCACCTGGCGCACCTGCCGCACCTGGCGCACCTGGTGCACCTGGCGCGCCTGGCGCGCCTGGTGCAACTGGCGCACCTGGCGCACCTGGCGCGCACCTGGCGCACACCTGGCACACTTGGTGCATCTGGCGCACCTGGCGCACCTGGCGTGCTGGGCTAGTGCAGACCTGGCGCACACCTGGAGCGCCTGTCGCACCTGGCGCACCTGTCGCACATGGCGCATATGGCGCACCTGGCTCATTTAGCGCGCTTGGCGCAACTGGCGCGCCTGGCACACCTGGCGCAACTGGCGGTCCTGGCGCCTCTGGCGCGCACCTGGCGCACACGTGGCGCGCACCTGGCGCAACTGGCGCACCTGGCGCGCGCTTGGCGCGCACCTGGCGCGCACCTGGCGCGCACCTGGCGCGCACCTGACGCGCTGGGCGCACCTGGCGCGCTGGGAGCACCTGGCGCGCATCTGGTGCACCTGGCGCGCTGGGCGCACCTGGCGCGCCTGGCACACCTGGCGCAC